AGACAGCCAATACTACACAGAGAAACCCAGTCTCAAATAACCAAAAACAAACAAGCAAACAAACAAAAAGATCCTGTATTAACCAAAGCATCACACAAAGGAAATAAAAACCCTAAGTAAATAAAGCAAGTGAAATTAGTTTTAATAGTCTTTAATTCAACCCTTTAGATAAAAATAGTCTAATTCAATCCTTTAGATTAAAAAATTAGCCTACAGTTTATATTTTTAAATAAGGGGGTTAATATTTATTTTTGTACTTTGAAATCTAATATGTGCGTTAGCTAGACATCACATCTCGATCTGAAGTAGCAACATTCCAAGGGCTGAAGAGCTACAATGAGTTAGTGGCTTCCATATTGAATCTGTACAGATCTAACGACTGAGCTCAGCCTCTCTGAGTTTGAGGCCAGCCTGATCTGTGAGCAGGTTCCAGGACAGCCAGGACTGCACAGAGAAACTGTGTCTTGAGAAAAAAAGAAAAAAGAAAAGAAAAGAGACAAAGCACCTTGCTTCTCTGAGCCTAGTGTTTCCTCCAGCATCTCTGAATTAATGACTAGATGTCCCCAAACTGATCGAGACTAACGTTAGTGCATTCGTTCATTCTCTCAGCTACTGAGTCATGACACCGGGTCTCCATTAGCCATGTCTCAAGTTCAGCTTCCCATGTCTGCCCTCTGCTTTTCTACCTTGCCCAGTTCCTTGGCTCTTAGGAGACAGGCTCCCCATCAGCTTTCGAGAAGTGGAACCACCAAGAATAAACTGCTCCATGCTATCACAACAGAGTGTGAGACAAGACCCCGAGCCACCTCTCCCCCTTGCCACCCAACACAGTGGGGCTGGCCCTTCCACCAAGCTCAGGACCCTGTGTCCCTCCTCCCGGAGATGGCGCCCCCACTCCTTTTCCCACTGAGTCCCACATCAGTTCTTAGACACGTTCAGTCGTTCAGTGGGTCCTATATTGTGACACTTAGGTCTCCCTCTGACTCTCCCTCTGCTTTCCCATCTCTCCTTCAGAGCCAACTCTGCGGTCTGTACTTCTTTACCTCTTGTTGGCACGCATTTCTCTGACATGTATCTTCCATCACTCCACTGAGCCTTCTTCCCTAATGTTCCCTCCGGCTCCCTGTTGAGGACATTGGAGAGCGTAGAAAGGATACATCCCAGGTCTCATTGCTTCCTGGCTGTGATGTAATTGCACATGCTTTCCCGTCTTGGTTTCTGTGACGTTCGTTTTCCTTCCCTGTGGCCATTCTATCCTCCTGCTTTCACTGTGTCCCTCTGAGCACCCTTCTTTCACGGATACTGTGCCCTAGACTTCGCTTTCAGCCTCTTTTCTCCTCCCCTACCGTCTCTCCTTCGAGAAATTTCTGCCACTTTAATAGCTTCAAACACCATTCCTATATGACAGCTCTCACACCAGTGGAGGGTTTTGTGGAGCAGAGATTCAGTTACTCTTTCATTCATTCGTTTATCTTTGTGACAGGGTCTCACGCATCCAAGGCTGGCCTTGAACTCACTGTGTAACCTAAGATGACCTTCAACTTCAGGATCCCCCTTCCTCCACCTCCTAAGAGCTGAGATTACTGGAAGAAGCTACCACATCCAGCTTTATGCATTGCTGGGGTTCAAACCCAGAGAGCTCCAAGTTCAGTGGGAGACCCTGTATCCAAAATAAATAAATGGTGGAAATGGGGCTGGAGAGCTGGTTCGGTGGTTAAGAGCATACACTGCTCTTACAAAGGACTTGGTTCCCAGCACCCACATCAGGAGCCTCATGGCTTTCTGTAAATCCAGCTCCAGAAGATCTGGTGCCCTCTGGTGCCCTTCAAAGGCACTGCATGCACATGTACAAACCCACACACTGACACACACACATATACACATACACATTTTTTTTTAAAAAAAAAGATGGAAAGCAATGGAGCATTGACCTTTGGTCACACACACACGCAGCATCAACAGCAGCAATAAATCCCATGCAGACATGATTGCCTGCGATTATAATCCCAGTACTTAGGAGGCTGAAGCAGGGCAAACACCATGAGTTCAAAGCCAACCTGGGTTACATAGCAAGACCCTGTGTCAAAATAAATTTTTGGCATAAAATCAGACATTATTATAACTAAGACAACAACTTTTATTCCTTTCTTAGGTTATATTTCCTCCTAATGCAACTTCTGCTAACTTCCTTCATTTAATCCAGTGGTTCTCAACCTGTGGGTCGACACCCTTTAGTGGTTGATTATCAGATATCCTGCATATCAAATATTTACATTATTATTCATAACAACAGAAAAATTATAGTTCTAAAGTAGCAACAAAGATAATTTTACGGTTGGGGGTCACCACAACATGAGGAACTGTATCAAAGGGTCACAGGATTAGGGAGGTTGAGAGCCACAGCTCTAAACCCTTCGTCTCTAGTCTCTTCCCTCTAAGAAACTGGGCCTTCCTTCCTGGATCTTCTTATCTAATTGCCATCAAATATTCATTCCTAAAGACCCAGATGAAAAGTAGTTTGGGATTTCTAGCATTCTGAAAGCAATCGTAGGCCACACCTAAAAGCGGGCTGAACTAACTGTGTGTCAACAAACTTATAAAAACAAGCCATGGCCCAAATTTAGCCCGTGGACTACGTAGCTCACAAATCCTGACCTACATCACTCGAGCACAAGTCTTTCTCGGCCAAGAGCTCCGGTTGCCCAGAGAGAAGGAACCTGTGTGACTCTGACACAGGAGTCATTGCAGAGGCAGCATAGGCTCTGAAGCCAGACAGAGTCCACTTACATCCCTACTGCGCCAGCTACTAGCTTTGGGACTTTGGACCAGTTACTTAATCCTTCCTTCTGTCAGTCTCCCCATCTGCAAAATGGGAATAACAGAGGCGCTGAGCAGCTGGAACACATTAAAACATTTAAAGTCCGTGGAGCAGAGCGCGGTGTTCATCGAGCTGTAGAAATGCCAGCATGTAGGCCACAGCAGACTCCCTCTGCTTTAAACCTTACTGGTGAACAGGAATCCTGGTAATGAAGAAGGAAATTGGGGGATGTCTCTGTGATTAAGAGTACTGGGATGCCTGATATTCTTGGTTGTCAACTTGCCTGCATCTGGAATTCCCTACACATCTCTCACAGGTATACCCGGTGACTGTGTTTTCAGTACCTGCATTGGCTATTCCAGATGTTGTAAAGTTGACAACCAAGAATATCCATCACAAGCACTTACTGGAAAAGCAAGAACACCTGAACTCTAACCCCTGGCACCTACATGAAAACCAAACATGGCCACGCATGCCTATAACCCCAATGTTGGGAGGCTGGTCTTGGGAGCAAGCTTGCCAGTCAATCTAGCCCCAAACAAAACCAACCATCAAAGCTTCAGATTCAGTGAAAGATCCCACTTAAACACCGTGGTTTAATTGACGGCACAATGCGGCACTCTGAGGTTTGGTTTTGTTTGAAACTGTGGTCCAAGCTGGCCTTGAACTTGTGATCCTCCCAGCTCTGCTTCCTGGGTATTGGGATCATAGGCAAGTGCCACCTGGCCTGGTTGGTTATGACACAAAACCAAAAGGGCACAATTTCAACAATGAAGGGAAATGACGGGAACACTTAGGTGGGCAGAGTCCTTTTAGGGGCCATGCTGAGACAACTGAGCAGGCGCCAATGACTCTCTGCCTCAGGCACAAAGATCAGCTCAGAAGCCTGGCAGCCTGAGTTCAATCCCCAGAACCTAGGGAAAGATGCAGATGTGGTGGTGAACATCTGGAATCCCAGCATTCCTGTGGTGAGTTGAGGAGACGGGGGAATTGGCCTCTCACGGACCAGCCATCCTGGGACACAACATAGTTTACAACACAGAAACAAGAAACCCGGCCTCACAAGCAAGATGGAAGAAGAGAACCGACGAGAAGTCCTCTTGGCTACACATACATACCCGTGACTATTGTTTTCCCAAGCCAGATTTCTAGATCTTCACCTCGTCAATGACCAAGGGGACTTTCACCCGCCTTCCCCCAGGTCTTCCAGCCACTGACCTGACAGTGGATGTTCTGAAGCCTTTACCAAAGAGCAGCTGACAAGCCCTCAGGTTCTCTTGACACCACGAGGCAAGCGAACTTCAGCTCCACATGGGAACACAGCTGAGCGTGGGAATCCCGGCTGAGCGTGGGAATGCTGGCCTCCAGCTAAACAGCCTGGTGGTCCGGCTTGAACAGTGCTGTGGCCGCAGCAAGCCGTAGTGATAGAACATAAGCTTGTGGTATTTTGCTTTCGTCCTGCCTCTCCAAGGGTGAGGATGCTCTCCCAAGGGTGCAAGCCAAAAAGAAGAACGGAGCAGAAGAAAACGGACTTCACCCATCACTGAAATACTTTGTACCTGAAGCGCAGCCACCTTGAGAGAAAAACATGGTGGCGGCGCTTCACGGTCACCTGACTAAGAGCCTTGGGTTTGGTGCTGACTCAGAGGGAAATAGGCTGTCACTAAGAGGTCCCCCCACAGTACCCAAGCTCTCACAGCCAAGTCTGGGCTTGGACCCAGCGAACATATGAGAAAAGATGACCACCAGAGCCACCCAAGGGGCGTGAGGCCTGCTGTTGCCGGGTCCACCCTCAGGGATCACAATGACCACATGAGATCATGGAATGTTGAAGTTAAAAGGAAAGTAGCTCTTACATCACAAAGTCCTACGTAGGTGGCCATCCTTTTGGCCTGGGAGCTGGGGGAATAGAGCTCTACCCTTGTCCCCAATGAGCCCCAGGCCTAGCTACCTCCCCCAGACAGAGTCGGAGGCAAATCCATGCAGGCCAGATTCCCACCAAAGCCGGCTCTCCTCCAAGCTTGCTGGGATGAAAAACTAGCTACAGGTTCCCTTGGGATTCGCTCTGGAGAGGGCAGTGCACAGAGTTTGAGACCAAGCTGAATGGACAGGTGTGGACCTTAGGGAAGCAGCCACCAGGGGACAAGAAGCTGTCACCAGCCCTCAAGAGAGTCCTGGCAGCATGGACTATTTTGATGATGAGCCTCTTGAGTCTGAGATCAAAGGTGAAAAGGCCCCCCCATCTCTCTCCCCACCTCTACCAGTGATCAGGTAGACTCCCCCAAAGCCCTCCTTCTCCCTGAGTCTCTGCAATGGAGATGGTGTGTTACGTTAGCAGCAGGGTTTAGAAACCACTTGAATACAGTGAGTTGTGGTGCTGGACTTGGCTCTTAAGAGCTCCGGCCAATGTCAGTTTTCATTGTGGACTGGTTGATATCACACTGATAGTTGGAGCCAGCCATATTGGGAATGTTCACACCACATGAATTGACAATGGTTGTTAATTTGCTTGCACCCCCCTGGTTGAGTGGAGTTCTAAAACTTGTTTGAGGGGCTGGAGAGATGGATTAGTACTTGGAGCTTTTTGCCTTTCTAGAGAACTTTAGTTCCATTCCCAGGAACTCAATAACCTGCAAGTCAACTCCAGGGTACTCAGCGCCCTCTTCTGGCCCCCACAAGCAAACTGCAAGCGCACATTTATGCACTCCTCCCAGCACACGTTTCTTTCTCCCTTCCTTTTTTTTCCTTTTCTTCCCTTCCTTCCTTCTTCCCTTCCTTTCTTTCATTGTCTGAATTATAAAGAAGCCAAGACTCAGAAACGTGCCTCTTCTCTCAGAGCACAGGGCAGCAATCTGGGCAGCTCGGCTGCTGAGTGTTCTCTAACCACCGGGTCACTGCTACTCAAATTACACGTCGCGTGGAAACTTGGCACAGAGGCTTGAGGATAAATATTGGGACTTGGCTCTGTTGGGGGAAAAAAAAAAAAACGAAGACACACACCTACTTGGGATCATTAAGAAGTCCGCCATCCTAGAATCTGAATTGTGAATGGGGGGGGGGAGGGGCACGCAATGCTCAACCCACTCAGAGTAGATGGATGGGTAGCCATGTACGGAATTCTCAAAGAATAAAAATAAATAAAACCAACAGGTAAGGGAGAGAGAGAGCAGGCTGACCCTGTATGCCAGGTCTTCAGGAAGCACACGTGTGATTTCTTGAACCCCTGAGGCCTGTGGAGGCCAGAGGATTCATCTCTGAGTCCTGGGTGTGGCTTTCAGGAGTCCAGCACTCAGCAGCCCAGTGAACAGGCCACGTCCTGCAAGTGCAGGGACCAGTGCGAAGAAGGCATGGCTGCTCTCAGCAGAGCCTCGTCCAGTGAAGACAATGTGCTTAGCTCGTAGCAATGAACTTCCGCTCCGGAGACATCGTCAAGCCTCTCCTTCAAAGGCCCAGAAACAGTGCTGGACATGAAGGAAGGGAAGCGAGACCAGCTTCCTGGAAATCTGTCTCCTCTGCTCCCTGAAGCCGACCCCGCCTTTTTCCTTTGCCTCCGATCCCAGTCCCCACCTGTCCTGCCCTTCACCTACCTCCCAGCGGCACAGTGTGTGACCATGAAGTAGCCCAGGCTTTGGGACACATCCTTTTACCATAACGAGTAACTGACTCAACAGCAGACCCCAAAATCCTTCCATGCAAATCACGAGGGAGGAGTGTGAGCAGGGACCCCACCAAAAGCAGGCAGATTGGCGAAGGGGACTGGAACTGCCCATTGACAGGGGACACGGGACTCCATCAATTCAGCCATATGAACGTCTTTGTTTCGCTTTGTTTTGTTTTTATTTTTTGAGTCAGGGTTTCTCTGTAGCTTTGGAACCTTCCTGGAACTCATTCTGTAGACCAGGCTGGCCTTAAACTCACAGAGATCCTCCTGTCTCCTCCTCCCGAATGCTGAGATTAAAGGCATGCGCCACCACCGTCTGGCTCCATACGCAGATCTTATAGAAGGGGGTTTCCTCTTTAGGGCTGCTATGTGAGCTATGGGATAAAGGCTGTAGGCAGGACCTGGAAGGCAGAGGAGGGAGGCAGAGACTAAGGGGAGTCGGTGGTAGGTGTCACCCAATGGGCCGCAGGTTTACTTCCCGGAATGGGATGGGATTTTTCTTTCAGATGAGACAGAAACCACGCCATCACTGCAGAACAGCGATGACATCCTGTACTGCGAAGCCGAAGCCCCTCCCACTGTTGAGAAGGAGAAACCCACCAGGGAGGACTCAGAAACCGACTTGGAAATTGAAGGTGAGGTAACATTTGATGGATGAAAGGTGGGTGGCCAACCAGAAACTGGAGAGATCTGGTTCCACCAGAATGTTCCTCTCTGTCCTACTGGAAGGCTATGCTCCATTCTAGACTACCTGCTCCTCCTGGTTGGCTGGGGACCACACAGGACCTTCTGAGCAGGTTGTTGTTACAATCTAAAGCAGCACGCAGAAGTTTCTGATCTTTAAATCTCTCCCATGTGGCTGTGTGTGTGTGTGTACAAGTGCAATTGCTTTCACAGAGGCCGGAGGCATCAGATAACATCCTGGAGTTGAAGTTACCTTTTTTTTTTTTTTTTGGTTTTTTCGAGACAGGGTTTTTCTGTAGCTTTGGAGCCTGTCCTGGCACTAGCTCTTGTAGACCAGGCTGGCCTCGAACTCACAGAGATCAGCCTGCCTCTGTCTCCCGAGTGCTGGGATTAAAGGCGGGCGCCATCACCGCCCGGCTGTTGCAGGTCTTTTGACATGGGTTCTGGCAACTGAATTCAGGTCTTCTGGAAGAGCAGTATGTGCTTTTAACCTCTGAGCTACCTCTCTATCCCTACCTTACTCTACCTCACCCCACCTCATGTGACTCTTACGTAATTTTTTCAGAGTCCAAGAAGGTGGACTTTATTACATCTTTTCTAAAAAGGAAACCGTGGCTTCAAGATTGTGAGAGTCACCCAAAGCTAATAAGAGCTGGCCAGGGTTCCACAAGCTGATGCCACGTTTGACCTGTCTTTGTTAGTCAGTGTTCCATGCAGTACCCTAGACCGTCTCTGCTACCCTAACCACGTGACTTTCCAGTCACCTGAGAGCTCTCGTTTCTCCTGCTTCAGAGTCCCAAGCTTTGTCACAACAAATCAAGCATGCCTGGTTACCCCAGCTGATGGAGCTGAAACAGAGACTGTTCTCGCAAACAGCAGCGCCAGCATCCCTTTCTTCCCTTTATCCCCAAGGAGAGGGGTACCAAGAAAGATTATCTGTGAGCATCTGTGAAGCAAGGGGAGAATGATGCTGGTCCCACTGAACGGGAGCAGCCTTCAGCTTCCTAGCTTGGTCCAGCCTGAGACACCCTTCCTCTCTAGTGGCTTTTGTTTTTTTGAGGCAAGGTTTCGTGGAGTCCAGACAGACCTTGAATTCACTACATTGCCAAGGATGACTTTGACCTCTTGACCCCCACCCCCAAGTGCTGAGATTACATCTATGCGTCATTATCCCCACCCGCTCGTGTGTTCTTGAACATGGGTGGCACTCAGTGATTCTCCCATCAATAGGGGATGGCAAAGTGACCTTTACCCCTAGGGTCAGCTTATAAGACCATCCTACCAGTCAGAATCAAATTCCCTCTTCTACTCAGACCCCTCCCCACTGCTTCCAGTCATCCTGTGGTTCTTTTTTTTTTTTTTTTTTTTTTTGGTTTTTTTCGAGACAGGGTTTCTCTGTGTCTGTGGAGTCTGTCCTGGAACTAGCTCTGTAGACCAGGCTGGTCTCGAACTCACAGAGATCCGCCTGCCTCTGCCTCCCGAGTGCTGGAATTAAAGGCGTGCGCCACCATCGCCCGGCCATCCTGTGGTTCTTTAAGGCTATTGTTAATTCTGCTTTTTTTTTTTTTTTTTTTTTGAGACAGAGTTTCTCTGTGTAGCCTTGGCTGTCCTGGAACTCACTCTGTAGACCACGCTGGCCTTGCACTCACAGAGATCCTTCTGCCTCTGCCTCCCAAGTGCTGGGATTAAAGGCGTGCACCACCACAGCCCAGTTGTTAATTCTGCCTCCAGCACCTCATTTTACTTAGCTGGAGGATGTGGCAAAGAGCAACACTGGGAAAGTCCACCAGGATAGGAAAGCCCACAAAGTTACTAGCTTGCTTGGTTTTGGCTGATTGGGGCTAATTTGTTGTCTCGAAGCTGTTACCAGGGTTGTTTGTGTCAGGGCCCTGTGTTGATTGCCCCAGCCCTGACAGCCTTAACTGGGTCCAGCCACCCACTCGCAATAGGTCAGTTAAAGACGCAGCTAAGTGAAAAGCAAAAAAAGGAGACTTACTCCAAGAACCCTCATTATGAAGAGGAAGAAATAAAGAAACCCAACGGCCTACCCCTGCCAAGTCCATCTTCAGGATCCTGGCATAAGGTTTGGATTTAAATAGAGGGCAAGAGGTGTGCATAGCTGGGCAGTCCAAGGCCAGTGTGGTCCAGGTCACCATCAATGTCTCTGCTCCGCTGCCCTTCAGGGTGATCTCACTGCCTGTCAGATCTGTGTGAACTCTCTTTCCAGGAGACAAGCTCCTACCCCAGCTAGCACCAGACTTTAACCTTTTCCCGCTCCCTGCATGAGACACCTGGGAAATCCTAATTTCTTAACTAATCTGATGGGATACAAGTATGTCTTTAAAAAAATAAAAAAAAAAAAGACTGGCTTTTTGTTTAAGCAGGCGCTTTTCCAAATCTCTGGCAAAGCTTGATTCACGGCTCACAGTTTTTTGTGGTGCTGGGGAATCAAGCCGAGGATTCACACAGCCGTGACCTGATGGCTTCACTCAACTGTCAATCAGCACCACCAACCACAGCTTATGTTTTAAGAAGACTAACTGGGCTGGAGAGATGGCTCAGTGGTGAAGAGAACTGGCTGCTCTTCCGGAGGTCCTGGGTTCAGTTCCTAGCACCCGCATGGTGGCTCACAACCATCTCTAACTCTGATACAAGGGGATCTAACATGCTCTTCTGGACAACAGCACACACATGGTAGACAGACACACATGCAGGCTACACATCTATATGCAAAAAATCAAATAATAGCAGTAATAAAAAAACAGTGCTGGTGAAACTAAGATTGAATTCAAGATGCCTTCAACCATCAAAAGTCAACAACTCAAACAGGAATTTTAAAAATCAAACATTGCATCCAGGTATGTCATCACACCCTTTAACCACAATACCTATGAGGCCGAGTCAGGTGGATCTCTGGGCGTTCAAAGCCAGTCTGCTCTATATAGTGAATTTCAGGACAGACGGAGCAGTGCATAAAAAGACCCTATCTCAAAATTAAATTAAACAATTCAAATATTTTTGTATTGGACTACAACACAATTGTATTATAATCCAATCCAATCCAAAAATGTACTGATTTGATATATACATGCTGAGGTTGAGAAATATTAAAAGTCTCTGGTTTTCATAGTTAAACCACGTGAGTTGTTTGCTTGTTTGTTTTGGTTTTGGTTTGGTTTGGTTTCGATTTTTGGTCTTTCAAGACAGGGTTTCTTCATTCCCTGGCTGTTCTGGAACTCGCTCTATAGCTCCAGAACTCAGAGACCTGCCTGCCCCTGTCACCCCAGTGCTGGGATTAAAGGCATGCATCACCACTACCTGGATAAAACACGGTTTTACAAGAGGGGGAGTCTTTGAATGTTCAGTAAAAATCACTGCAGCTCCTAATATGCAAGAACCAGGAGTTGCAGCCCAGGTACTTTGGCAGCTGTGGTGTTCTGCTGTGCCAGAGCGTGTCAGTGCTGAGAGTACATGTTGTGTTCAGAATGGAGCCTGTGCGAAAGATCCAAGATGCCACACGAGCAAGCACAGCCAGAAACACGTTGGATTCATCACATGTGTGATTCTAAGCTAACCTGTGGTCATCACACCTTGAGAAACCTTTTACTGTGGCCAGTTTCTTTCGAATGTGCCCCCCCCCACACACACACATTTGGTTACACTCTCCTGTATGCCCAGCAGCACCCACAGCTGGAGGAGTTGGGTTCTAGAGCACATACCCACAAAGACAGATCCCAGGAAAGTCCAGGCAGAAGAGCACCTCCCCTGGGGAGGTCGGGGAGCTAAGGCAGCCTGGAAGAGAAAGCTTATCTCATTCTGCCTTTCTCTACAGACACAGAGAAATTCTTCACCATCGGACAGAAGGAACTGTACCTGGAGGCCTGCAGACTGGTGGGCGTAGTGCCTGCCTCCTACTTCATCCGGAACATGGAGGAGTCCTGCATGAACCTCAACCATCATGGGCTGGGCCCCAAGGGTACCAAGGCCATTGCTATAACTCTGGTGGTGAGCATGCTGGACAAAGGAGCATATCAAACCTGATGGAAGAGGATTATCAGAGCGACTGGTTTGACATTCAGAGGACACCCTCTTTGGTGTCTAAAGAGCAACTTACCCTGCTCCTTTCTCAGTCATTGGTCATTATTTTTCCTGTTAGTTCATGGAAGAGGTTGTGCTTTGAAGACTGTGGCCTTTCCTAGTTGGGAAACAAGACACTGGTTGGGAAGCAAGACATCAGTCTGAATGGGCTAGGTCCAGGCCCAAGAGTTACTACAATTATAAAATGTAGGCCCAGGTCTCCATTCCAAAGCCGACCTTGGCCATATGTGAAGCCACTCCTGAGCCACTCCATTCAATGTCTGCCTTTCACATTATCATTTTTAGAAATTATATTTCCAAGTAAATCACATTTTTCCACATGAAAGACATTACCTCTTGGCTTACCATGACCAAACAAGGACTTGACCTTCATTGCATCACAGATTTATGTAATTGATTACATATAAAACTGGCTACACTTGGGAGGCAGAAGCCCGTGGATCTCTGTGAGTTCAAGGCCACCCTGGTCTATAAACTAAGTTTCAACCCAGTCAGGAATATATAGTGAGGCTGTGTCCATTGTCTCATTAAAAAAAAAAAGTGGAGCTGGGTGGTGGTGGCGCATGCCTTTAATCCCAGCACTTGAGAGGCAGAGGCAGGCGGATCTCTGTGAGTTCGAGACCAGCCTGGTCTACAAGAGCTAGTTCCAGGACAGGCTCCAAAACCACAGAGAAACCCTTCTCGAAAAACCAAAAAAAAAAAAAAAAAAAAAAAAAAAAAAAAAAAAAAAAGTGGAAGCAGTAGAGAACATCTTGATATCAACCTCTAACTTCCTCATGCTGTGCACACATGTCCATTCACACAAATACACACAGACTTTTTAAATTAGTAATAATACTGGATATGACATCATCACACCAGATATGTTGGCACATATCAGTAATCCAAGCACTTTGGTGGCTGAGGCAGTAGGATCAGGACTAGGAGTTAAAACTCAATTTGGCCTCATAGTGAGTTCCAAGCGAGCATGGGACTGTATGAGACTCCTGCCTCAAAATAAAAATCAGTGGTGGCGCATGCCTTTAATCCCAGCACTCAGGAGGCAGAGGCAGGTGGATCTCTGTGAGTTCGAGGCCAGCCTGGTCTACAAGAGCTAGTTCTAGGACAGGAACCAAAAAGCTACAGAGAAACCCTGTCTCGAAAAATCCAAAATAAATAAATAAATATGAGTAATATTTCAACCATTCTTAGAAAGAACAAAAAAAACAAAAGGGACCAAGAAGGGATCCTTAACACATCCTGTCTATAAAGGGTCTGAAAAGAGGAAGAAGTCACAAGCTCATAAGGAGCAGACTGTGGGGCAGCGGGGACAGCCAGTGAGACCTATGTGACAGGAGTCAAGAGGGTAGAGGACTGGTTCAGTGCAGCCTGAGAAGATGATGGACAAGGAAGGAAACTCGGACTTTGATGTCTATAAAAACTCAGGGCAATTTTCAAAGTCTTGCAATATCCCAAACTCGTTCATTGGGGGAACAGCACCACCGTCCAAAGTTGCTGGGATCTGCAAAGAACATTGCTCTAGTGAGGTCTAAAGGGATGGCAAATCCTCTGTACTGTCATCCTCCACTAGGTTCCACTAGGAACCTCCATCCTTCAGGTTCCTAGTCTCCATCTCCAGGACCTTTCCATCAATCCTTATCTGTTGCTATAATATCTGAGGCTTAGCAACTTCATAAAAGAGGCTTGTTTAGCTAACTGGGCTTAAGGGCTGGTATCAGCTCTGCCTTGGTAATGACCTCCTGGCATAACAACAGAGGGAATGAGCAGGAGAGGAAGAGATGAAATGATAAGACAGGAAGGCCAGGGCCAGGCAGTGGTGGCACTCGCCTTAAATCCCAGCACTTGGGAGGCAGAAGCAGGCGGATCTCTGTGAGTTTGAGGTTAGTCAGGTCTACAAGAGCTTATTCCAGGACAGGTTCCAAAGCTACACAGAGACACAGAGAAACCCTGTCTCCAAAACACAAAAACAAACAAACAAAAAACAACAGGAAGGCTAGCAGAGTCAAGCACAGGAAGTCAGTCACCACCTTCCGCTGAGCCCCACTTTCTTTTACTGAGATTTATTTTTCCTGTTAATTATATGGTTATGGAGGGGTGGGGAGTGTGTGAGCGCACATGACAGCAGAGAAGCCCGATGCCCTTGAAGCTGCAACTGCAGGCAGCTGCGAGCCGCCCAGAGTAGGTACTGAGAATCAAACTCAGGTCCTCTGCAAAAGAAGTATGCGTGCCTAACTGCCTAACCACCAAGCCCCACTTCTTAAAATTCTCACTAACGTGTGTGTGTGTGTGTGTGTGTGTGTGTGTGTGTGTGTGAGAGAGAGAGAGAGAGAGAGAGAGAGAGAGAGAGAGGTTGATGTCAGGTGACTTCTATTGCTCTCCAACATATTCAGGATCTCTCACTGAACACGGAACTCACTGATTCAGCTTGCCTGGCTGACCTGCAAGCCTCAAGGTCCTCTAGTCTCCACCTTCCCAGGGCTGGGATTACAGGCATGCACCATTACATATATTGGTGCTAAGGATCTGCACTCGGGTCCTCCTCATGCTTGCCTGCCAAGCAAGCACATTACCGACAGAGCCATCTCTTATAGACACCATGGTCTCACTAAGTCTTAAACATCTCCACACTGCGGCCCAGACCTCCAACACAGCACACTCTCACATGCCTGGGATGTTCTAGAGAGAAATGAAGCTCTGGACCAGAGAGGACAGAGAGCTACCCTAGTCACTAACCACTTCTTTGTCTTCCTTCCTCTCCCACTGTGGCGGCCAAAGTCCAACACAACGATTCTCAAACTGGAACTAGAAGACAACGCCATCATGGAGGAGGGCGTCCTGAGTCTGGTGGAGATGCTTCATGAGAATTACTACCTCCAGGAGCTGGTAGGATGCCCTCCTCCTCCTCCAACTCCTCCTGGCATACCCGGGGACTCAGAACCACTCAAGCCCGGTCAGAACCTCCCACCCCAGGCCTAGGTCAGCTTTGGGCTATCTCTAGGCAGTCTGTGGGCTCCTCCTCAGGTATCAAAGGCGGCTGTGGGAAAACCTGAAGAGCCATCTCTGGCTCTGCATTTAAAAGTCCCCAGATGGAATGGTTTACCCATCCTAACCAACACGAACAAGCTTTCTTCTTTGCAAAGCAGGGACCTGATGAGGTGGCTCATTTTCAAATCCTCCAAATGAATCTGTCTTAAGTGTTAAAGCAAACAATCTGTATGTTTATGTGAAGTACCAAGGCTAAATTGAGGTGGTGGGGTGTTGTTGAAGACAATGAGCAACCCTGGGAGAGACGCTAGAGAAGTCAGACTCGGATCAAGCTTCCTTGCCTTCCACCTCTCCGTCCTTCACATTACCCTGATCCTAAACATTTTACCCCAGCTTATTCTCTCAGTCACCCCTGACCAGTCCCGCCCCCCACCTTGTTTCCGAGGGCCTTCTTGTGCGATCCTCTCCCGCATGTGTGTGTTCTAACCCCTCAGAACATGTCTGACAATGACCTTGGTTTGGAGGGAGCCAGGATCATCTCAGACTTCCTCCAGGAAAACAATTCTTCACTCTGGAAACTGAAACTTTCAGGTGAGCCCATAGCAGGGGAGGAAAGGACACTGGCAACAGAAGGAGAGAAGAACAGAGGACCTTGGGTCCCTGTTTTAGTTTTGGTTTGATGCAGAATACATGACGCTGCATCGTCCCCTCGCTGGACCAGGCAGCCTTGCCCCTCGAAGGCCACACCAAGCCCCTGCTTTCCTGAACAGGCTCTCTTTGCAGCACCCTTCCTTGTCTTGGACAACTCCACCTCCTGGGGTCTGCCTGGCTCATTTGCCTGACTCTCTCGTGCCACGCACGCCTTCAGGCTCATGTCATCTTTTCAAGAGACTTCTCTGACGCCTATCACAACAGCAATGCTCTATCGCCATTGCTCTGTCCCGTTTCTCCAGTTGTCTTAATGTTCATTAACCACTTGATTATTGCAGGTCCACTTTGAAATGAGTGATGCTCTATCTGTTATTAGGGGAACAGGGCCACTTGAAAGTTCTAGTGTCCAGACATGCCCTCACTTGGGTTTGCAGATTTATGCTATCTGAGGGACTCTGGAACTTCTATGCCAAGAAGTGAATATGAAGATCAGTCCTATGCTGAAAAGTAGGACCTCTTTGGAGGACACTCTTTACCCAGTTGGTTTGGGATTCCCATAGATAAGCCCCAATCCACGTGATCTAAAACTGCAAAACTAACAAGGAACAAACTTAAAAAGCAGACACTCGCAGTTTCAGACAGTAGAATTCTCAGACATACACAAGCCGTGTGGAAAAATAAATCTCAAAAAAAGGAAGTGGGGCTCAGTGGAAGGTGGTGACTGACTTCCTGTGCTTGCCTCTTCCCCTGGAACTAGAGTTACAGATGGCTGTGAGCTGCCATGTGGCGAAATGAACCAGGGCCCTCTGGGAGAACAGTCAGTGCTCTTAACCACTGAGCCATCTCTCCAGTACTAATGCTAGGCATCCCTAATACACTAAGGATGTTCACATCCGATGTCAGAGAGGAGGAAGGAAATGGTCAGCAGTCTCCCCCATTCCTTGTGTCTACCTGTTTGCTTTAAGAGCTTCACGGGGCGTGTGTGTGTGTGTGTGTGTGTGTGTGTGTGTGTGTGTGTGTGTGTGAGCCTGGCAGGCGTGAGAGGGCAAGGGAGCGCAGATGGTCTGGAGTGCATTGCTAACAGCGTACCCTCACTGACCACAGGAAACAACTTCAAGGAAGAATCTGCTGCGCTTTTATGCCAAGCCCTGTCGGTAAGGAGCATGTGAGGATGTCCCTTGGGAATTCTGGGTGACCTGGGGGGACACTGGACAAAGCCACTTGCTTGGTTTGGGAAACTAATGTATGTTTGTTCCCTGCAAAAGCTTCAGCAAATCGTAGGACTTTCTGGGTAGGAATAATTCTCCAAGAAACCGTTGGTAGTTAAGGTTTTTTTAAAATCTCCATTCTTAGCCCAAAGTATATCTTTATCTTTATTTTGTGTATTTTATTTATTTATTTTTTTAATGGAGCTCTTTTTTTTTTAAATTTTCTTATGCATAGTGTTCTGCCTGCATGTATGCTTGAGGGCCAGAAGAGGGCACTATATCTCATTACGAATCATAGTGAGCCATCATGTGGTTGCTGGGAATTGAACTCAGGACCTCTGGAAGAGCAGCCAGTGCTCTTAACCACTGAGCCATCTCTCCAGCCTGATAGTTAAGTTTTTTTTTAATTGTATAGGAAATCATTTGCTTAATAACACTAGCCTACCCAGTTTCAGGTACCTAGGAGCCCCCATCCTTCTGCCTTAAGGTTGACTGAAAGAGATGCCATCAAGAAATCCCAGAACTCAGGAGGCTGAGGGAGAAGGATGGAGAGTTTAAGGCCAGCCTGTACTAGCTATGCAATAATATCCTGTCTCGCAATAACTAAGTGGAAGACAACTAACCTCTCTACAATTTGTCCCTTTAGTCCAATTACAGAATTAGGTCACTGAACCTCAGCCACAACCAATTCTCTGATGTAGCAGGGGAGCATCTGGGACAGATGCTAGGTATGTGGCCATGGAGGGAAGGGTTGGGGAGGAGACCACTTCCAGCTCTCCCTGTATGCATATGGGTGTTTTGCCTGAATGTATATACACGTACCGTGAGTGTGTCCGATGCCTGTGGAGGCCAGTTGGGGCATTAGCACTGGACTGGCCGGAACTGGAGTTACAGACAGTTGTGAACCACCATATGGGCACTGGGAATTGAATCCAAGCCCTCTGCAAGAGCATCCAGTCCTCTTAACCTCTAAGCCATCTCTCCATCCCCGTTCCCTTTCTTATTAACTTAGCCATGACTGTTTCCTTTGTGGGGTTTGTTTTGTTGGTTCCTCTTTTGATTTGTTTTTTGCTGCTGCTGCTGCTGCTGCTGCTGCTGCTGCTGCTGCTGCTGCTGCTGCTGTGTTTTTATTCTTCAGTTGATTGACTGGGTTTGTTGGTTGGTTTGTTTGTTTGTTTTAAACAGAATCTCACTGTTAGTGAATCCCAGACTGGCCTTGAACTTGAGGTCCTTCTGCTTCTGCCTCCCAAGTGTTTGGATCATAGGTGTGTGTCCTAAGTGTTCCCATTACAAAAGTGGTGGAAATCATGCTCGGAATAATAGAGCACAGCCAACATCTGGGTGTGAGAGGCAAAACTTGCCAGAGAGTGAGATGGTGTAAAGAAGCAGCTTGCACGAGAGGACTGGAGAGACGGCTCAGCAGTTCAGGCTGCTTGCTGCTCTCGCAGAGGACCAGAGTTCTGTTCCCAGCACCTTGGGCAGCCACACACACACACACACACACACACACACACACACACGGCATACACTCACACACATACACATGGATAAAAACAGAATGAAGCCCAGAGCTGGCGAGACGGCTCAGCAGTTAAGAGTACTTGTTGCTCTTGCAGAGGCTCCCAGCTGGATTCCCAGCACCCACGTGATAATTAACAACTACCTCTAACTCCACTTCTGGGGAATCCGATGCCTTCTTCTGACCTCCACAAGCACCAAACACGCATGTGGCACACATACATACATGCAGGCAAAACATTCACACATAAACAAAACTGAGTAAGTCTAAATAAAAAGTTTAAAAATTATATCCATTAAAAAAACAGAATAAATAAACCTCCTTTTTAAAAGCTACTGGCTGGTATTGTCACACTGGTAACATAAACCTCACCTGAAAGAATTCACATATTTTAGAAAAATTTATTGAAAACATATACATGATGAAAGATGACATTTTGGGAAAATTTTTTATTTTGATTTTTTTACCTTGAATTTTCTTTCTTTTATTTTTTTACATTTTTTTATTAATACTTATTGAGCTCTACATTTTTCTCTGCTCCCCTCCCTGCCTCTCCCCTTCCCCTTTTAGTCCTCCCCCAAGGTCCCCATGTTCCCAATTTACTCAGGAGATCTTGTCTTTTTCTACTTATTACTTCCCATGTAGATTAGATTTATGTAAGCCTCTCTTAGTGTCCACATTGTTGTCTAAGTTTTCTAGGATTGTGGTTTGAAGGCTGGCTTTCTTTGCTTTATGTTTGAAAACCACCTATGAGTGAGGACATATGATAATTGTCTTTCTGTGTCTGGGTTACCTCACTCAAAATAATGTTTTCTAGCTCCATCCATTTTCCTGCAAAATTCAAGCTGTCGTTATTTTTTTTCTGCTGTGTAGTACTCCATTGTGTAAATGTACCACATTTTCCTTATCCATTCTTTGATCGAGGGTCATTTATGTTGTTTCCAGGCTCTGGCTATGACACACAAAGCTGCTATGAACATAGTTGAGCACATGTCTTTGTGGCATGATTGAGCATCCTTTGGATATATACCCAAAAGTGGTATTACTGGGTCTTGAGGAAGGTTGTTTCTTAATTATCTGAGAAATCGTCACACTGACATCCAAGAGGGGTTTTACCAGCTTGCATTCCCACCAGCAGTGCAGAAGTGTTCCCTTTTCTCCACAACCTCTCCAGCATAAGTTGTCATCAGTATTTTTGATTTTGGCCATTCTTACAGGTGTAAGATGGAATCTCAGAGTTGTTTTGATTTGCATTTCTCTGATGACTAAGAATGTTGAACATTTCCTTAAGTGTCTTTCAGCCATTTTAGATTCTTCTGTTGAGAGTTCTCTGGTTAGGTCTGTACTCCATTTTTTTTTATTGGATTATGTGATCTTTTGGTGTCCAATTTCTTGAGTTCTTTGTATATTTTGGAGATCAGACCTCTGTCTGATGTGGGGTTAGTGAAGATCTTTTTCCATTCTGTAGGTTGTTGTTTTGTCTTGTTGACCATGTCCTTTGCTTTACAGAAGCTTTTCAGTTTCAGGAGGTCCCATTTATTAATTATTTCTCTCAGTGTCTGTGCTGCTGGGGTTATATTTAGGAAGTGATTTCCTGTGCCAATGCATTCAAGTGTACTTCCCACTTTCTTTTCTATAAGGTTCAGTGTGGTTGACTTTATGCTGAGGTCTTTGATCCATTTGGACTTGAGTTTTGTGCATGGTGATAGATATGGGTCTATTTTCATATTTCTACATGTTGATATCCAGTTCTGCCAGCACCACTTGTTAAATATGCTTTCTTTTTTCCATTTAATATTTTTTGCTTCTTTATCAAAGATCAGGTGTTCGAAGATGTGTGGATTAATATCCGGGTCCATTGTTCTTATGCCTGTCTGTTCTTATGCCAATACCAGGCTGTTTTCAGTACTGTAGCTCTGTAGTAAAGTTTGAAGTCAGGGATTGTGATGCCTCCAGAAGTTCTTTTATTGTACAAGATTGTTTTGGCTATCCTGGGTTTTTTTGCTTTTCCATATGAAGTTGAGTACCTTTCTTTCGAGGTCTTTGAAGAAGTTTGCTGGGATTTTGATGGGCATTGCGTTAAATCTGTCCAATTTTTTTTTAAGTCTTGTTTTGGTCCAGTATTTCCTCACTATGCTCCTTTCCCTACCTTTCAAGACGGTAATGTGTATCCTGTGCCACTGTGGCTTGGAAGTATGTGATCTGCATTTTGATTTTGATTTTACCATTAAGTGATTGCATGAACCTCAGAAGAGACTTTGAACTTTTTTAAGCAGGATTGAGACTGGTATAGACCATGGGGATTTTGAAGTCGGACTAAAAGCATTTCCATACTATGTTATGGTTACAAGCCTATGGGGAGGGGGGCGTGAGTGGAATGTGCTGGTTTGAATAGGACTCATGGATTAGAATGCTTGGCCCATAGGGAGTGGCACTATTAAGAGATGTGTGGCCTTGGTAGAGGAAGTGTGTCTATGTGGGGGCAGGCTTTGAGGTCTCATATGCTCAAGATATGCTTCACAGTCTCCTTTTGATGCCTGTTGATCAAGATATAGAACCTCCTCAGCAACCGTATCTGCCTGCATGCCACCCTGTTTCCCACCATGACAATAATGGACTAAACCTCTGAACTGTAAGTCAGCCTCAATGCAATATTTTCCCATATAAGAAGAAAAGAAAGATACACAACACTGTATTTGTGTCATTGGGGTAAACATCTATAATGGAGCCTTTCCACTCCTGGGCTATGTTCTTAGGTGGTGTCTCAGTGGATACGCCTCTTAGTGGGAGAATATCTGTGGTCACATACTTACCTGGTAGATTGTGCCACTTGTCGGGGCCAGCCAACCTGTCAAACAGTGCCTGAATAGGGGAATCAGGATTAGGAAAGAAATGACAAAGATAGAATTGGGAGGGCTCTCAGTGAATACTGCAGAAGCCTCGAGTTTATTTCTTTTAGCCCTTTTACACCCAAAGCAAACGGAGTGGGCAAAAGACTTCCTTACCAAGGCTCGAGGAACAAATAAGCATGATCACCTCCTCAATTCTCAAGACATCTGAGACCCCGCCTTTAATTGACCTTGAGGAGCACTCTCTGATCTTAGGTCAAGATGGACTAGAGTCACTGTGGGCTCCCATACTGCCCCTGAAGACTGTCCCCTCTTCAGTAGAAAAGTGGGACTGTTTTAAGTCATCTTTTCCAGGATTAAGGGTCATTTTTCAACCTAAGTAACTATCTGAAAATTATCATCTGGCCAGATATGGTGGCTCACAAGTTTAATCCCAGCATTTGGGAGGCATAGATGGATCTCTGTGTATTCCAGGCCAGCCAGGGCTACATAGTGAGCTTCTGTCTTTAAATTTTTTTAAGGGAGAGAGAGGTCTCTGGAGAGATGGCTCAGTGGTTAAGAGCACTGACTGCTCTTCCAGAGGACCCAAGTTCAGGTCCCAGTACCTACATGGCAGGTATAACTGTCTGTAATTTCAGTTCCAGGGGACCTGACATCCATGGCAAAACATTAATGCCAAAGGACCCAGGTTCAATTCCCAGCACCCACATGGCAGGTCACAACTGTCTGTAATTTCAGTTCCAGGGGACCTGACACCCATGGCAAAACATCAATGCACATAAGATTTTCAAAACGTTTTTTAAATTAAAAAAGTTGTCACCTGAGTGTCACAGCTTGCATACCCCTCTCCAGTACTGTGGGTCTGTGGCTGGGTCTCTGCTGACATGAGTCTCTGCCCCCCCCCCCAGCCCTCAATGTAGGGCTCCAGTCGCTGAACCTAAGCTGGAATCACTTCCACATTCGGGCGGCTGTGGCCCTGTGTAGCGGTCTCCGGGTAAGTCACACTCTGAGAGGTGAGTTGAACTGCTTCCTCGTGGTCACCGTGGACTTGGGTGTTCAGAGCTTTCACCAAGTGTCTTTGAAGCTGCTGGGTTTCCTTCCATGACTCCCGGTGTGCGCTTCTGTTGTATAAATCCTCTCTCCTGAGGCCTGAGCACCATCATTAGGGGTGCTTTCAGAGGGTGGTTTAGCTTGAGGGCATAGAGACGAGAATCTCAAAAGGGATCAATCTCTCAAGAGGTCTTAAGAATGAACCCCCATCTGGAGGCAGCAGAATAAATGTGTAGATCTGTCTCTACAGAAAACCACTGAGCTGGGGGACAGGGATGGGCAATGGCGTTAGGATGGGATGGGATGGGTTAAGAGTCGCAGGGGGTGAAGGAATGTGTCAGGGGTGAAGATAAGGGTTGGGGTTTAGATGAGGGTGAGGGTGAGAATTGGGGCTGGGCTGGCAGTCAAGACATTTTCCTGGGTAAGCCTCACTCCACCCTGATGCTAGTGCTGTTCCCCTCCTCTGGAGTCTAACGTGACCCTGAAGAAATTGGACGTGTCCATGAATGGCTTTGGGAATGAAGGCGCTCTGGCCCTGGGGGATGTCCTCAGACTCAACAGCTGTCTGGTCTACATCGACATCAGCAGCAATGGCATCACCAATGAGGGAGCCTCCAGAATCAGCAAGGGACTAGAAGTCAACGAGAGCCTCCAAGTGCTGAAGGTAGACTCGCTGAGCTGGCGTCTTCATATGCACTTCTGTGTCTGGATGCAATACACGTCTGCCTATGTGTCCATGAGTGTGTGTCCGTGAATGTGCGTGTGTGTGTGTGCATATGTATGTACGTGATTCATCTGTGGGAAAACGGCGGTAGAACTAGACAGAATGCCTGGGAAGATCACCAGCCCCTGCCCCGTACTTCCATGTCCACGTTTGGTGCCCTTGCTATAGACCCAGGGCTGCCTCGGCTCTCTGGTGACAGGTGTGCTTCTATACAAGTCTTCCCTCATGCCATATGGGTCTCTCTTGGGATTTTCTTCATACTAAGGCCATATTATGCTTTGGGGATACCAAACCCAGTGGTTGCTTGCATTCCAGTCTGGTCCTCTGATCCCATGAGCCTCTGCAGCCTCAGCTTACCCCTGCTCTCCGTGGATCTCCCTGCAGCCTCAGCTCACCCCTGCTCTCCATGGATCTCCCTGCAGCCTCAACTCACCCCTGCTCTCCGTAGCTCTCCCTGCAGCCTCAGCTCACCCCTGCTCTCTGTGGCTCTCCCTGCAGCCTCAGCATAGCCCTGCTCTCCGTGGCTCTCCCTGCAGCCCCAGCTCACCCCTGCTCTCCCTGCAGCCTCAACTCACCCCTGCTCTCCATGGCTCTCCCTGCGGCCTCAGCTCACCCCTGCTCTCCGTGGCTCTCCATGCAGCCCCAGCTCACCCCTGCTCTCCGTGGCTCTCCCTGCGGCCTCAGCTCACCCCTGCTCTCCGTGGCTCTCCCTGCAGCCTCAGCTCACCCCTGCTCTCCGTGGCTCTCCCTGCAGCCTCAGCTCACCCCTGCTCTCTGTGGATCTCCCTGCAGCCTCAGCTTAGCCCTGCTCTCCGTGGCTCTCCCTGCAGCCCCAGCTCACCCCTGCTCTCCCTGCAGCCTCAACTCACCCCTGCTCTCCGTGGCTCTCCCTGCAGCCCCAGCTCACCCCTGCTCTCCGTGGCTCTCCCTGCAGCCTCAGCTTAGCCCTGCTCTCCGTGGATCTCCCTGCAGCCTCAGCTCACCCCTGCTCTCCGTGGCTCTCCCTGCAGCCTCAGCTCACCCCTGCTCTCCGTGGCTCTCCCTGCAGCCTCAGCTCACCCCTGCTCTCTGTGGATCTCCCTGCAGCCTCAGCTTAGCCCTGCTCTCTGTGGCTCTCCCTGCAGCCCCAGCTCACCCCTGCTCTCCATGGCTCTCCCTGCAGCCTCAGCTTAGCCCTGCTCTCCGTGGCTCTCCCTGCAGCCCCAGCTCACCCCTGCTCTCCCTGCAGCCTCAACTCACCCCTGCTCTCCGTGGCTCTCCCTGCAGCCCCAGTTCACCCCTGCTCTCCGTGGCTCTCCCTGCAGCCTCAGCTCACCCCTGCTCTCTGTGACTCTCCCTGCAGCCTCAGCTCACCCCTGCTCTCCGTGGCTTTCCCTGGCTCCTCCTCTCATGAGTAGCACTGCCCACGCCCACACCTGCTTTTATGTCTGCTCTGCTGAGGAGCACGGCACACAAAGGTCTATGTCAGCCTGCGTCCTCCTGAGTTAGGGGGCTGCGGCCAGCACTCTGCTCTCCCCTCCCTGCAGAACTTTATTCTATGGTTCCTAACTATACTCTCATGTGAATGTGAAATCTCCCTAAGGACAAGAATGTTATTTTGGCCCTGATCATACCCTTCACACTGCATGGTGCCGGACACACCGTGAATATGTAGAAGTAAATGGATAGATGGATTAATATTACTTGTGAATTAGTTTACCTGTGGAAACTAATTATGACAGAGGCCATTGGATAGTTTGGAAGCAGATGCAAGAGGACATTTGCTCCAAGGTCTTCTCTCTGGGCTCTTTCAAGCCACACCCTGAATATGATGATGCAGTAATTCATCAGCCATTGCCCAGGGTGACCCGGTATCTCTGCCAGCTCCACTCTCCAGATGGGAAAACAGAGGCCAAGTGACACTCATTCAGACCACACAATTATAAAGAGGGTGGCCACTTGTATCTGGCTTTCTATAGCCATTCTAACTCCCTGCAAGAGCCTGGGAAATTGGCACACAGTAAATGCTCAATAAAACCCCTGACCTCCCTCCTAATGTAGCGACCTGAAGTGGCCTTCATAGCAACAGCCACCATTCATGCACTGTGTGCTGTTCACTGGGCAGCTTTTGGATGCTTTGATTCTATTATTAGGTTGGGACCCTTGGGACAGCTCCTCCGTGGAGCCAGGTACAAAAAAGCCAGGAAGTGAAACCCAAGGCCAGCTGCCTACATGTTCCCAATTGCTAATCTCCATCCATGCTTCAGTGGCTCTCAACACCCTTGCAATAATAACCTAACAAGGTCCACCATGCCATGGCCTTTCCTGCCTTCATTGCCTCGTCCTCTCTGTTCCTGCTCACAGAACATGTGCTATTGCCCAGCACCACAGCATGCTGTGCCCTCCAGCTCACCTCCACCCTTGCCTGCTCTTCCTTCATGAATCTTTTCCCACTCTGCTCCTGCTCCCCCCTTCAGATATGACTAATTCCCCATATCCCAGCAAGGCTTTACTCAAGGGTCTCCTACCCACAATGCACTTTGCTCCTACAGTATGTCCCTCTGTCACTGCTGCCATCATATATCTAATACCATTTACTTAACTGTCTCCTCCAACTAGAGTAATGTTATCTGAAGACAGAGCCCTTGTCAAGTTGACCTGGGCTTAGAAGGCCTTGATAAATATTTGTTGGAGGATGGATGTGTTGGATGGATGAAGGATGAAATGGATTGATGGATAGGATTTTGGATGGATGGGTAGTAAGGTAAGATGGATGGATGCATGGATGGATGGATGAGTGGATAGATGGATAGATGGATGGATAAATGGGTGAGTAGATGGATGGATGGATGGATGGATGGATGAGTGGATTGGTGGATGATGGATGGATGGATGGACAGATGGATGATAAGAGAAACTGATGAGTGTGTAAGTAGATGAATGGATAGATAGTGAGATAGGTTAATTAGTGGATGTGTAAGTAGATGGTGAATTGATGAGCAGACGGATGGGTGGGTGATAGATAAACAAAGGGATGGACTTATAGATTATGGGTGGGTAGAATAAACGAACAGATAAATGAGTGCTCAGTAGTGGGTGGAAAGATGAAAGGACGCATGGTTGGACAGACAGACAGGAATAGATGAAGAAGTCTAGGAGGAGCACAGAGGTCGTGATTCGGCGGGGAAGGTGAAGTTAGTCTAACACAGCCTCCTCCTGCTGCGTCCTCCTCCCACAGCTCTTCCTGAACCCTATGAGTATGGAGGGGGCAGTTCATCTCATCATGTCCATCAAGAGGAACCCCAAATCCAGGATGGAAGAGCTTGACATTTCTGTAAGCGCTCAAATACCACTCATTGGCTCCTGGCACAAGCCAGCTACCTCCACCACTGGTGTCACCAGCTGTGTCCCTCACAGACCCTCACACACAAGAAGTAAGGGGCTCGATTGACGGGAGTAGCCCTTCAGTAAATCTCACCACAGTGTAAAGGAATTTATTTGATCCTGGGAACCTAGAATGTGAGCACCTAAGAGTACTAATGAGGAAAAACCAATAGGGCCGGGGCGTGAAGAACTCCAGAACAAAATTTGTACACCACCAAATTCGGTAATAAATGGATCGCGTCTCAGAATGTTCCAGAATCCTGGGATTTTCTTTTCAGCCCTTGCTAGTCTGAAACTTGCTATTATATAGACCAGGCTGGCCTCAAACTCACAGAAACCTGTCTGTCTCTGCCTCCCAGAGTGCCGGGATTAAAGGTGTGCACCACATACCCAGTCAGAATCCCAGGGTTTTTAGGACCCACCTCACAAATGTGTGTTTGTTTCACAACGTGTGGCCTTCTGTGCTCAGAGCTGCAAGGTGATCCTTCTGTGAAGGAGGAAGGGAAGTCACCAGCCTCACCAGGGACTAGCCCAAACCACGGCAGGGAGGGCAGTGGGTACTAACAAACCATCGCAGGGAGGGCAGCGAGTCCTAACAAACCACCGCAGGATGGCAGCAGGTACTAACAAACCATCGCAGGGATGGCAGCAGGTACTAACAAACCATCGCAGGGAGGGCAGCGGGTACTAACAAACCATCGCAGGGATGGCAGCGGGTACTAACAAACCATTGCAGGGAGGGCAGCGGGTACTAACAAAGCACCACAGGATGGCAGCGGGTACTAACAAACCACCGCAGGGAGGGCAGCAGGTACTAACAAACCATCGCAGGGAGGGCAGCGGGTACTAACAAACCATCGCAGGAGGCCAGCGGGTACTAACAAACCATCGCAGGGAGGGCAGCAGGTACTAACAAACCATCGCAGGGATGGCAGCGGGTACTAACAAACCATCGCAGGATGGCAGCGGGTACTAACAAACCATCGCAGGGAGGGCAGCGGGTAGCAACAAACAACCGCAGGATGGCAGCGGGTACTAATATCCTACAATTTTGACCACCGGTGCTTTTGACCCCAAAGCAGTTTTAGGGTGCTAGCTCCTCAAATGCTACCCTAGAAGGTTGGTAGAGCACTGTGCTCATTGCCAGGGCAGCTGCACCAAAATACCACAAACCAGGTGGCTTAAGTAGAAGAAGAAAAAAAGCATTGCCTCTCAGTTCTGGAGTCCAGAAATGCAAGAAGTAGGTGTGGAGTGGCTAGGTTCCTTCTCCAGACCTGAGAAGGAATTTGCCCCGACCTCTCCCAGCATCTGCTGCTGCTGGCAGTCACCGACACCCCTTGGCTTGCAGACTTACCACCCCAGTCCTTGCCTTCAGCTTCTCGTGGCGTTTTCCTTAAGTGCACATCCATCTCTAAGCAAAATCTCCCCCCCCCTTTTTTTAAGGATTCCATTATTTAATTAGGGCCCACCCTACTGACTTCATTTGATTCTCTCTTGCAAAGACCCTATTTCCAAATGAGATCGCATCTACAGGGTTAAGGCTTCAAACCCACTTGGTGTAGTGGTATGTGCCTTTAACCCCAGGACTTTGGAGGCAGAGGCTGGTGGATCTCTATGAGTTTAAGGCCAGCCTGGTCTACAAAGTGAGTGCCAGGACAGCCAGGGTTACACAGTGAGACCCTGTCTCCAAAACCAAAACAAAACAGAAAAGACTTCAAGCGCCCTGGGAGGGTATGTTCAAGTTTTATTTCTGTTGCTGTGGTATACTACCCTGACCAAAAACAAACAAACAAACAAACAAAAAACCCAATGAGGAAAGAAAAGCTTATTTCAGATTACAGTCCATCATAGCAGACAAGTTCACAGCCGGAGGAGCTTGCAGCAGGTCACAACCAGTCAGGAGCAGAGAGAAATGACTGCATGCATGCTTGCAGGCTTAGTGTTTGGCTAACCCTTTCTGCTCTTACACAGCCCAAGTCCCCAGTCCAGGGAATGGTCTGGGTCTTCCCACATCAGTTAATTGGAATCGAGACCATCTGACACAGACATGTCTACAAGCCAACCTGAGCTAGCAGGTCTCCTGCAGGTCCCCTTCCCCAGTGATTCTCAGGTTGTAGCTAATTGATATTTTAAAACTAACCATCATGATGCCTGGCGGTGGTGATGCATGCCTTTAATCCCAGCACTCGGGAGGCAGAGACAGGTGATCTCTATGAGTTCAAGGTCAGCCTAGTCTACAAAGCGAGTTCCAGGACAGGCTCCAAAGCTACACGGAGAAACCCTGTCTTGAAAATCCAAACAACCAACCATCATGAAGGTAGGGGTGCAAACTCAGTTTATAGCGCATACTTTCCCTCGTTTCCCACTTTACCTATGAGGAATCTGAAGCAGAGTCATTAGGTGATTTGCCCAGGACCCACAGCAAATGAGAAACACCTAGGAGTCAGCCAGGGCCCCACCGCCTCCTCTAGTCCTGTGAAGGTTAGTGCTATACAAGAGTCCCTTTCTTCCCCTATTCTTCCCAACAGTGTTTTGTAAGATTCCCCAAATGCTTGCCACTGTCTGAGCCATGATAGTTGGACTATCCGAAGCTGAACGTTTCTCCACCTGAAGCCGCTGATGCTCTTCTTTCTCTTTGCTCTGCCACCCACCCCTCCCTGCTTCTCCTGCTCCTCAGTCCTTCTCCTCAGAGGTCCCACCTCTCCTCAATCACACTATAGCCTCCACTGCGCCAGGGTGCAAAAACCCCTCAGCCCCAACCCACTCAGCCATATTCAGGTTTCGTAGCCACTGGCTCACCTAACTCCTGCAGGCGTGGTACACTTGAGGGAACCTGCACTGCTTAGGGCTTAGATGGCACAGGGGTCTGTGCGCCATGACTTAACTGCCAGTAAACGAGCCTGCCAGAGCCAAGAGACTGTTATCCCGTTAGTCTTTTTCTGGAACTCTGATGAAATGATTGAAGCCAAGATGCTATAAAGGATTGCTATTTACTTCACATTCCTGGAGGCCGAATGACCCAGTAGCATGGCTCCAGCTCTGGTGATGGCCCTCTTGATCACCTTACCTCACAGCAGATGGCATCATCGTGGTCTTGCATAGGGGACGGAAAGGACACTACATGGAGAGACAGTTTCATTTCCTTCTTGAACTAGCGGGTCCCCTGAGCATGACATCTATTCCTGGGAGGGCGGTGTCCCCAGTGACCCAGTCTCCTCCCACTAGGCTCCACCTCTGAAAGATTCCATCACTACTCACACTGCCACCCTGGGGACCAAGGGTCCTACCCTCTTGTCAATGATGACGCCAAGACTCTAAATGTACTGGAATTCCTGCTCTGTAGATGCTCCTAGGACCAGAGTATCTGCAAAGCCTTCAGCCCTTAAGTGTGAGTTTGAAAGGGCAAACAGGGGCTGGCGAGATGGCTTAGAGGTTAAGAGCACTGACTACTCTTTCAGAGGACCCGGGTTCAATTCCCAGGGCCCATATGACAGCTCATCTCTGTCTGTGACTCCAATTCCAGGTGATCCAACCCCCTCACACAGACATACATGGAGGCGAAACACCAATTCATATAAAATAAAAATAAATTATAAAAAAAAGAACAGGAGAAAGATACTCAGAACCACACTTGAAGAAAGATGAGGGTCGTCTAGCTGATGGAGAGCAGGCTAGATCGCTCTTCCAAAGCACACACTCTCCATGTCCTGAAAGCCAACTCTGACCTCTTCCAAAAGAGGAGTTTGTAGCTCGCTGTGAGCCACAGCAGGATGGTTGGCACCAGGGATCCTGGGTACCTGCTCTGACGAACAACACACAAGGATGTGGACAGGTCAGGATCTGTGCATAGGCCAGTCTCTGACCTCTGTTCATCAAATGTAGCCACTTAAAGAACCACCTCAGAGAAGAGCTGAGTGACAAACATATGACAAACAAGCCACCCGGACACAAAGAAAGCGTCTAATCAAAATTTCCTAGATGTGGGCAGATTAACACATACCTATAATCCCAGTGCTCGGAAGACTAAGGCAGAAGGATCACCACGAGTTCAAAGCCAGTCCGTGCTCATAGTAAGTTCAAGGCTAGTCCAGGCTGCAGAGTATGACTATAAATTGTTAAATCTGGGAAATTTACAAATCGAATCACAAGCTCCATAACACCAGAGCAGCCCTGAGGATGTAGCTAAGTTTGGTAGACTACTTGCTTAGCATGCTCAAAGTCTGGGATTCCTTGCCTAGTACCCCATAATGGCATACCCCATAACCCCCCATAATCACGTGACTGTAATCCCAGCATTTGGGAGATAGAGACAGGCCAGCTTGGGTGACATCCAAGGCTATATCGATTACAGAATGAGTGAGACTCTGCCTCAAAAAGGAACCCAGGACCCAAGTTAATCACAAGCTAGAAAACACCAGAACCCGTACCAGTTCAGAAGAGCAAACCAGAAAGGACCAGCACCCCTAAACATGGCTTGGGTGAGAGGGAAGGGTACTCCGGGCAGCAGACACGCGGTACGATGACAGCATCTCTTCCACGGCCCCTCTCTCCCTGCTGCAGAACATTCTGGTAACAGAGCAATTTGTAAAAGTCCTGGATGGAGTCTGTGCCATTCACCCCCAGCTGGATGTGTTATACAAGGGATTGCAGGGTCTCTCCAGCAAGAAAACCGCCTCTCTGTGGACCAACCCCATGAAACTGATCCAGGTGAGCCCCTTAGAGCCTTGGGTCCCAAATCACCCACCCAGCACTGGCTCTGTCTGAGTGCCCATAGGTCCTTTCTAATAAGGCTCCTTGCTATGGAGGCCTGGAACATTGCCCTAGGTTATTGGGTCACTGGATACTGTGCCTCACCCCAAGAGAAGAGAAGAGCTGAGATATGGTGGAGGGGGGAGGGGGAGAGGGGATGGAGGCACAAGACAGGGTCTACTACCTGGGACCTGCCCTTTACTAATGTGTCACCAAAGGCAAGTCATTGAAGTCTTAAGTGCCTCAGTCTTTCCACCTGTAAAATGGGAAGAGATGAAAAGGGTGCTTGTGAAGGACGAATTACTCAGCAGTTACGAGGTGATCAGAGTTACGCCCGGACATAGTAAGCGCCCAGAGCTTGCAGCTTCTTTCTGAGACTGGATGCCCCCCTCAGGCGGCTTCTGGCCTCTGGTTGATACACTCCGCTCCTCACTTTTCAAAACCAAATCTAAGAAGGTCTTACATGAAAATTTTGTGCAATGTTCAAGAAGGCAGAAGGTAACGGGTTTGTTTAGGAAGAAGTGACTCCAATGGAACCAGGGGGAGGTTTTCCAAGGACAGCCAGACGCAGAGCGAGGGTCCCACCCCTTGTTTTAAAAGAATATAGAAATGGGCCAGGCAGTGGTGGCGCACACCTCTAATCCCAGTGCTCAGGAGGCAGAGGCAGGTCAATCTCTGAGTTTGAGGTCAGTCTTGTCTACAGAATGTAGTTCTGGGACAGCCAGGGCTCTACAGAGAAACCCTAGTAGCTGAAGACTCTGAGCCAGATGCCACTGGATCTCCAGTGGTGTGCAGACTTACAATCACACCTGCCTGGGCTACAGACAGAGTGGGTTCAAGGCCAGCCTGGGCAACTTAACAAGACCTTGTCTCAAAATTCTAAGTAAAAAGAAGGCTAGCTAAGTATATAGGTCAGGGCTAGTGCCTTTGTTTGACGTACGTGAAGTTCCAGGTTCAACCACAGCACCGTAAAGAAAAAAGAGAGAGTAGGAAAAAAAATCTTCAGGTACAGACCAAACAAGACATCTGTGTACACTATAGTTGGAAAGAGGCGACCATGTGTTTAGAAAGATGAGATGGATTCAGTAATGACCAAAAAATTGTCACAGAAGAAATATTACAAAGCTCCATCAGAATGTGAAGTCAGGACATCCCAGGATGAGGCAAAGAGAAAAGAAGGACTTCCCAGCAGAAGTGGGGCTGGGGAAAGGTCCTGGATGAATGGGAAGAATTGTAATGATACAAAACCTGGAAGATGGTTCTAGCAAGAGGGTTTCTGCCAGCAGAGCAGGGAGGGTTTGCACACTGACAGTGCAGGCAACCTTCAGGGGCACTGGAGACAGAACCAAGTCAGTCCAATTGAGGAAGCCTGGGACGCCAGACTCCAAAAGAAGCCGGAAAGCCCAAACTGGGCTAGAAGTGGTTGGAATCCTCAGACTGCAGACCTTGAGTTGGGATTGGATTCCATTCGGCATAGGGAGCCATGAGAACTGTGGAGCCCTGGAAATGGTACCTTTAAGGTGCCTGGCAAGGCTGTTCCCCATGTGTATGCTGTAGGGAATCTGCGAGAAGCCTAGGTGTGCCCAGAGCCTGCCCTACCAATCACGCAGCAGCTGAGGGAAACCCATCCACCAGCCACAAAGTACCCTCTGTGCCAGTGTTAATAGAGGCCATTTCAAAGCCAAATTCCGGACTTAGATCCGGTCACCGTCTGTGCCTCTGTGATAGTAGGGGCCGCTTAGCTGCTTTGGTGTCCCTCCGTGAAGTCAGGGAGTACATGGGATGAGTGGGGCCTCTTTTAGGTTGGGGTGAGGCTGCCAGGAACTAGACAAACACAGGTGCTATCACGTTTCTGTCTGCACTTGGTGCTTGCTCTAAAGCCGTGTTTAAACTACCGATGCCTCAAGCTGGAGCTACCTTCCCCCACTCCCCAAGCATTTCTGGGTCCAAGCGTGTGGCCCACCCTTTGGGGGCTGAGGGGAGAGGTGTGGTAGCCGTAATAAAGACAAGTGCTTGCTCCTGGCACCTCCTGCTCCTCTCAGAACTACACAGAACAACAGAAGATCTCAACTGTGGAGTTCTTCAAGAGCTTGAATCCAGCGGGATCAATGATAATGCCTGTGGGGGACTTTCGGAAAGCCATGATACAGGTGTGCTGATTCCCGGAGACTCTGGGTAATGGGGGTGGGGGAGCGGAACGGCAAGCATATGCTCGCATTTCACACTGCCCTGTAAGCTTGGTTGAGGGCACTGCTGTCATTCACCTAGACTTAGAGGGAAATGTAACACCTCCTTCAACCCTCCACCCACATCTGTCCCGTGGCCTGATGCCACTCCTCACCCCAGAGGCATACGTCCATCTCAGGGGCCCCCGACCCCCTGTCGTGCTAGGAAGATGAAAAGTGAGAGTGGGGGACCATTTCCCTGTAGCTCCCACACTCTGCTTTCCACCTTCCCAGCTTACCTGAGCCCCTGCGGTCGCTCTTAGCAATATAGTGATTGGAATGGAGGTCCCCTGAAATGTATGCACGAAGGGATCAATTGTGACAGCATTCTGGGGAGGCCTTGGGAGAAGGGTCTAGGGACCCGGGCAGGGATGAGTGCTTAGGATCCAGACCCATGGAGCAAGAGGGTTGGCCAGGATTAGGTATCCGGGAGCAAGAATGACCTTCACATGTTGGAGAGTACAGCTTCTGTCCCCCTCAGCAAGCCACTCATTGCTCCCGGATCCTGGGCCTTGTCTCTTTCCAGAAGCAGGGGGGTCATTCTGGAGGCAAGGCCATGTCATGGAAAGCAACTGCCTCCAGTACCTCCCTGTGGTAGGTGCAGCCACCTCTGAGTCCTCAAATGCCACCACTGGTCCCAAGAGTGAGACAATATGGGGGGGGGGGGGTGTCACTGGGTGTGAAGTAACAGAAGGATCCATAACGCATTACCCCCACCTTCCCAGCAAAACAAGGTCCCCATCAACCGGTACCAGGTCAGGGAGCTCCTAAAGAAACTGGATGAGAAGAACGGTATGGTGGACTTCAGGTGAGCATGGCCTCCCCCCACCCGGCTTGCCAAAGGGCCCTAGTGGGAGGGGCATCAGCCCGGGGATCCAGCCATCTGTGTTCTGTGAGATAGCGGACACTGCTCACAGTGGACCAGAGGCCCCGCCCCAGATCCCACGACCGGGCCCCAAAGTCCTCCTTCCTTCTCTTTCTCAGCTGCCTTATGTAGTAAGACTCGAACAAGACACTGGGACCTGTGCCTGAGGAACGCCAGCCCACGTGACAAAGGGACAATGTTCAGGCCTCCAAGGTGAGGACAGGAGAGACTGGGGAGGGGAGTATGCCGAAGACCAAGGGAGGCATCACTGGGGCAGTGCTTCAGCTAGGTCCGGCAAGATGCATAGACGCATGCCACGTTTCTGTTACAGAGGTTCAGGACATCTTGCGGGAGTAAGTTCGCCACTTCCACAACATGGGTTCTGGGGAGCAAATTCGGGTTATCGGGCTTCTGGCAAGGGCCATTAACTCCTGAGCCATCTCTCTGGCCATTTGTTGCGCGCACGCATGCATGTGTGTGCGTGCATACGGGCACCAGAGGCTTGGCATCTTCATTGACTGTGCTCCCCTTTAATTTTTGAAACAGTGTCTTTCACTGAACAAGGAGCTCTCCGATTGGCTAGATGAACCGGCCAGTGAGCTTCCTAGCCCAGCTCTAGCACTAGGACGCCATCACAGAGGCTTTCGTGTGGGCACTAGGAATCTGAACTCAGGTCCTCAGGCTCGCGTGCCGGGAAGATCATCCCCCCAGCCTATCGTTCCCCCTGTTCCCTTTCCTTCAAATCAGCTTCTTAAAGTCTGGAAATCACAACAGCCGGTCAGGTCTAGGGAGATGCCCCAATAGAGAAGTCCTGGCAAGTTGTGGAGGCTGTGAGGAGACTCAACCAAAGGGCGGATGGATGGATGCCATGACGAGAGCTAAATGCCACAAATAGAATCTCTCTCTGTGCTGCTGATGTTGGTCGTGTGTGTGTGTGTGTGTGTGTGTGTGTGTGTGTGTGTGTGTGTGGCGCGCGCGCGCGCTGATGTTGGTCCTGGGCTGGGCATCTCTCTGTGCTGTTGATGTTGGTCCTGGACATCTCTCTGTGCTGCCGATGTTGGTCCTGGGCATCTCTCTCTGTGCTGCTGATGTTGGTCCCATTTGTTTCTGTTCTTCTTTGTATAAAATTGAAAAGGGAGCAATGATTACTATGCATTTGATTTTCTTTCAGGCTGATTTCTAGGAATGGTGGAGATTCTAGACAGCTAAAATCAACCCCTATGACCAGTTCCAGCCCTCTAGGTCACCCCTTGCCCCTGACACTCCACTCTAAGTAAGTGAAAGACAGGTAGTCAAACCCAAACCTTCCCTCAGTATCCCAAGAGGCCTCCCCCCAAAACCGGATTGTTCTTTCCAACTCCCAAAGGTGGCGTCATTCCCATTTGTAGCCACTAGGTGTCAGGTTAACCTCAAAAGTCCTCATTAGAGCCGGTCCCTTTACTTGGAGCCTTCCAGAAACTTCTTTCAACATCTTGAACGTCTGCCCCTGGAACCCACCCTGATCAGCCCCAGGGACCCAGGAGTCCATACCTGCGCCGACCCCTCCAAGGCTCCGTGTCCTCACAGTCGATCGGGGTTACTAAGAACTACCGTGCACGTCTGTAATCAGGAAGAAAAGTTAGCCCCCTATCTAGCCAGCCGACTAAGTAGCCGGAAACACCCCTCAGCAGAAGCACCAGCAAGCCCAGCCCGACAAGAAAACCGGCGGGATCACGGAGGTGGGGAGGGACTGCGGCAACTCTTTCTCTACTGGTAAACCGTAGGCTTAAGCGGGAGGACCCTGCAGGAATAGCAGAGGCCATCAAGGAGAGAGATAAACCTAGAGACTGCTGCACACTAGCACAGGGCAGTCTGGGTTTATCCCTCGTTCTATACTCCAACTGGGCTTTGAGAACAAGCTCTGTGTCCTCCCGGGACTGTAGAATGAGCACCGTTCAATTCATTTCCCAGTTAGGAGGAGTTCAGCATCCTGTCCACGATCTCCTAGGTAGCAAAGAACAACGCTGAGATTTCAGGACCCTGCAATGTGTCTTAACCCTGACCCTTCCCTGTCCCTCTGAAGCGGCCTCGCACCTTTTCACCACCAGGGGGCAGTTTAAGGCGGATCGCTCTGAAGACATCAAAGTGGGAAATATATCGTGAGGGCTGGAACGGCTTGTGAGAGGAATCCCATTCTCTCCAGTAAAGTCCTGCGGATTCCCACCCCCGGCCTCCACTCCCACGGGGCTCTGCTATCCCACTGGGAGAACTAAAGTGGCAGGACACTGGGTGGATACCTCTGTGTGTTAGCGCCATAACGCGGTCAACCCATGTAAATCCTGGCATTTTACAATTCTGTCTGAAATCTACCTAGCTTTACCTTCGTGACCTTAAGCAGTGGGTTCCATGTTTCTGGCTTCAGTTTTCTCATCTGTAAATGGGGGTGATAATAGCACCCTTTCTTCTATAGAGTCTTGTGAAGAGTAAATGGAATAACGTATATAAAAGCCTTTCTTGTTTACCCGTCTCAACCTCATTACAGCAGTATTCCACTCCTGAGAGAGGGGAGTGGGAACTACAGGACCCAAAGGGCACAGGTGGGGCGCACTCAATACACCCCAGTACTGAATCTTAAAAAACGCCCTGGAGGAGTTTCAACCTCAAGCCTTGGTTAAGACTGGCAAACAGCCCAGGGTCTTAAGAATGACAGGGAAACAGGAGGCGGGAATTCCAGTGCTAGCTCACATGGTGGGACAGCCGGGCATCACAAGGCAAGCTCACCGACCAACAGAGCAAGATGCCAGCCCCACCCTCAGTCCTGGGGAAGGCACCGACTCCAGATTCAAAAGCTTCCATCCTAGAAGCAAGCACCATAACCCACTTGTTTCTCAGAGCAGGCGTGGTCCTGATGCTGGTTAGGAACGGGTGAGAGCGTGTACACATGCCACCGCCTCCAATGTCAGCCTTGGTGACGGCTACAGTGTCCTCAGGAAACCAAGCCTGCCCTGCCAAGTGGGGGGCTCGGGATTTGTTTGGTTTTAAACAAAAGAAAACAATGGCTGGCAAAGCTAGCCTGTGTCCTAAGACCCTGGCTTCTGACCAGCAGCCTTGAACCAAAATGAAGGGAAGGCTCTCAGGAAGCCGGCATCGCATTCCAGGGGGAGAGGAAGGCTGGGCAGCTGTGGAAGCTGGCTCCCAGCCCAGCATGCCCCACAGGGAAGAATAGTGGCTTGATCCTCAGAGGGACCTCACCCGCCCTCCCCACCCTCACCCGCCCTCCCCACCCTCCCCCTCCCCATGTCCCCACCTCTGGTCTCACACTGCAGCCCAGACTGGCTTCAAGCTTTCTGCAGTCCTCTTATCTTAGCTTCCTGAGGGCTAGTCTCTTAGACTGGAGCCATCAGGCCTGGCAGGGAGATTTTTTTTTTTTTAAACTTTGTCTTACCCTGGCTTTTGAGAGTGCTTGAGGATGGTAGGATAACTGGCTGGCTGCTCTGAGTTCAAGAGGCCTGGTACACAACATTCCTACTTGTGCGAATGTGTGCAGATACAGTTTTAAAAGAAAGAAAGAAAGCATTTGCCATATTGAAGTCAGACTAGGGCTAGAGGAGAAACCCCTCGTCCCCAGCTTAAAAACAATAGGTTGGTCTTTTCTGTAGTTCTTAGGCAAGAGTGCCAAAACCCTTGGAATTTCCTGAGAAGAAATGCCTTTGTCGTGGTAATGGATGAATCACACAACCCTCAGATGGCTTTGGGATGGGAGTTGATGTCAAAAAGACCAAGACTACAGCGGGGCCTTCCAATCCAGACTCAGAGGTCCCGCTCCCAGGACGGTGGCTGGCTTGGAGGTAGAGTTTAATCCTCTGGCCTCCTCCTGTCAATCATGCCCACCTCATGAAACTACAGAAAACCCTGGCTCCTGGAGTGCCTGATGGTGAACAGCATTGTGGAGGAGGTGGTGTGTCCAGACTCCACAAAGAGGGGTTCCCAAGCGTCAGCCCTCGGGTCCTGCTCTAAGTTCCCCTTCATTTGGCTGTCCTGGAGTGCTGTCCTTTATGAGTCTGGTTTATTTTTAGTGTGTGTGTGTGCGTGCGTGCGTGCCCACGCACGCGTGTGCATGTTTCAGAACGTGTGTGTCACAGTGTGCATGTAGAAGTCAGAGGACAGCCTCAAGTGTGGCTCGTCACCTTCCACAGTGTTGGGCATAGATTCTGTTTGCTGGTTTGGTTGAATACTTCTGGGTATCAGCTCCCTGTGGGGTACGAGTCCAGACACAGACCACCCTATCTGGCTTTTGCATGGGCTTCCGGGATCCAGATTCAGGTTTCCAGGCTTGAGTAGCATGCACATTTACCAAACAAGCCACCCGCCCCAGCCTACAGCCTTTATGATGAAATTATAATCGTTGGTTGGTGCGGCACCTGCAGCGAGGGGGAAACAGGACCCTCAGGCTTTTACATGGCCAGTCAGAAATGCAGACATCCTAGTGACCTCATTTGCAGCTGCTGTCTTAAGTAGCTGTCCTGCAGAGGATCGAGCCCTTAAACCCATAGAGTCTTGGTACAGGAGGGTCGAGCATGAGTGGGGTCGATGAGAATTGCGGCAGATCCATCGGAGTTAGCCCAAGTCAAACGAGAAATACGAGTGCACGCAAAAGCATGCTCATGTCTGAATCGGTTGTGTGTTCCATACTTAAACAGGCGCCTGCCAGAGTCAGAAGCCCAGCCCGCAAGAACTGGCCTCATCCCTGAGAGTCCCGCTGAGACGCCACCTCTCCGTGTTGTGTTCTACTTTGCCCAGCAGGCGGCGCTCTGACCTTACAAGTCCTCCATTTGGGCTAAGATTTACCCAGTTCTCTGAAACCTGGTAATGGGAAAAGGGGGAAAGAAAACAGAACCCCGCTGGCTCAAGAAAATCAGATTCCTATTGGCTATAAAGAAAAAAATGAAGAAGAGAGTGAGAAAGGGGCGGGGGAAGGATGGGAAGGAAGGAAGAAAAGACCGAAGGGAGGGAGGGAGGGAGGGAGGGAGGGAGGGAGGGGAAGGAAGGAAGGAAGGAAGGAAGGAAGGAAGGAAGGAAGGAAGGAAGGAAAAGAAAGCAGCCGTGTCATTGGCATGAACAGCAGCACACAGCATACTGACAACCTAGGTCAGAACCTCGACCCTCCTGGGGAGCATCTTCTCGACATGGATAGTTCAGGTCCTGTGGACGCCAAGCTTGGGCAACTCAGAGAGTCCCTTTTTTTAAAAAATGCAGACAATGTTAGGGGATGGATTCAATGTTTATTTAGAATTGGAGCCAGTGAGAAACTGCAAAAGCTGACAATGTGATGAACATCAAATCCTGGGGCCTCGCAAGGAGCTTCTTTGGGAGCCCCCAACGTGTCCCCTGCTCTAGTGAGGGTCCCCAGTCCCAGCTGCTCCTTTTTGTTTCCCAGCAAGAGTGCCAGCACTGTCTTTCCCTGTCTGTGGAGGAGAGAACTGTAGGAACACCACAGACAAGTGTGGAAAGCTTTCCCTTCCCCCGCCTCCGACACGCGAGGGGAGGTTGCCACACCAGCCGGGCTCTCGGATGGCTCTAAGTGCTTCCGCGTCCTTGCTTCCTGGCTCCACAGTTGGTCCTCTGATTACTTGCCATTTCGAACTTGGGATAAGAGCCTCAACATGCCTTTCCCCAATATGCTGCGATGCAGCAGTAACCCCATTTTGAAATGATTGGAGGAAATTCAGAATATAAATCCTTCAGAGGAGAGAGGGAGCAAAAGAGACGGCTCAGCAGTTAAAAGCACTGGCTGCTCTTGAAGAAGACCCAGGTTTGACTTCTAGCAGTCACATGGTGGCTTACAACTGTCTGTAACTCCAATTCCAGGGAGCCCTCTTCTGACCTCTGCAGGCACTAGGCAGACATATAGGGCATGTACATACATTTCAAGCACATTAAAAACAAAATTTAAAAACAAAGAAAGCCAGGCAGTGGTGGCACATGCCTTTTATCCCGGCACTGGGGAGGCAGTAACAGGCAGGCTCCAAAGCTACAGAGAAACCCTGTCTGGAAAAACAAAAACAAAAACAAACAAACAAACAAAAACAAAACAAAACAACCCAGTGGGGAATTTCTGAGTTCAGTTCCCAGCAACCACATGGTGGCTCACAACCATCTGAAATGAGATCTGGCGCCCTCTTCTGGCCTGCAGGCATACATGCAGGCAGAACACTGTATGTAATAAATAAATAAACCTTAAAACAAAATGACTCTTATCTCAAAATAAAAGAATAATGTTTTAATTAATTAATAAAAACAGAGGTGGACTCTGGGGGTGAAGCTCGGTGGGTAGAATGCCTGCCTAGCATGCCTGAGGCCCTGGGTTTTAATTCCAGTAACAGGTAAATCGTGGTGTGTGGTGGAACATAGTAGCAATTCCAGCTCTCAGGGTGGCAATAGGAAGACTGGGAGATAAAGGTCATCATTTCAGGGGACAGGAGCTCAGTTCCCAGCAGTGGGCATCTCACTACTGTCTGTAATTACAGCTCCAGGGGGTGCAACACCTCTTCCAGCCTCCGCCAGCACCCACAAACATATGTGCAGACACACAGAGAACAATAAATCCTTCTGTTTGTTTGTCTGAGACAAGGTCTTACTATAACTACAACCCTGACTGTCCCTGAACTCACTCTGTAGACCAGGCTGGCCTCAAACCCACAGTCCGCCTACCTCTGCCCCCCAAGTGCTGGGTGAGGTGTGGGAAATCCTTCTGTCTATGTGTTGCTTTTATTGGTTAATGAACAAAGCTGCTTTGGCCTACTGGGAGGGCAGAATAAAGCAAGGCAGGAATTCCAAGCAGAGATAGAGGAGAAAGTAGGTGGAGTCAGGGAGATGCCAAGTAGCCGCTGAAGGAGACAGATGCCTGGGAACCTTACCAGTAACCCACGACCTTGTGGTGATGCACAGATTAACAGAGAGGGGTTAATTTAAGATATAAAAGCTAGCTAGAAATACGCTTAAGCTATTGGCCAAAGAGTGTTGTAATTCATACAGTTTCTGTGTGATTATCTCCAATCTGGGTGGCTGGGAACAAACAAGCAGCCTCTGCTAACAGGCATGCACCATCATGCCTACCTTAAGATAAGTCTTTTTTGTAATTTTTAAAAAGATTTATGTTTTTATTGTGTATACAGAGTTCTGCCTGCAAGCCTAAAGAGGGCACCAGATCTCATTACAGATGGTTGTGAGCCACCATGTGGTTGCTGGGAACCAAACTCAGAATCTCTGAAAGAACAGCCAGCACTCTTAACCACTGAGCCATCTCTCCCGCCTGTAAATCTTTCTTTAAAGAAAAGACTTTCTTAAACAGAGTCTACATTCTTACAAGAGAAAACTGACAACAATACTATATCATCCAGTAAGTCAGACATGGTGCAGGGGGACGAGAAGAGGCCTACCATTAAGCAGAAGAGAAATGGAGTTTGACTGAAGGATTGAGGCAATGAAGGAGCTCTGTGGACGCCTCGAGGAGGAGCCATGCAGGCTGGGAGGACTGCAAAGGCCTAGAGCAGGAGTGCACGAGCCCCTAAGATCAGCCTCCACGTTTCAGGATTTGAGCCGTGCACCACCACACCTGGCAACCCTCTCTTCTCTATGCATCACCAGCCTCGGATGTTTGGTTTCAGCAACAGAAAATAAACTGAGATCCCTTCCCCTGCTCCTCCTAAAGATTTTCTAAGTGGCTATCAATAGGAGTGGTGATTGTACTCCCTGCTCTTCGCCCCAGATAACCTGGATGGACCTGAAATAAAGGCCCAGGATGTAGTCTGAAATTCAGAGAAAAGTCTTCACCCACGAAAAGAATAAAAGCTGGATGGTGGTGGTGAACGCCTTTAATCCCAGCATTCAGGAAACAGAGGCAGGCAGATTTCTGTGAGTTTGAGGCCAGACTGGTCTATAAAGAGAGTTCCAGGACATCTGGGGCTACACAGAGAAATCCTGTCTCCAAAAAAAGCAAATAAATAAACCATGCTAACACAATACTAAACAAGAGAAGAAGGGAGAGGGAAAACACCACAAAAAGGCAGAAGCCAATATCCACTTTCCAAACTAACTCTGAATATTAACTCTGAATGACCTCATTCCCCAATCAAAATCCACAGACCAGTGAATTCAGGCAAAAGCCAAAGCCTGTAACCAAGTGTATCTCGCCACTAAAGGTAGGCAGAGAAACACACGCGCATAAAATTCATTATCAGCCATGTTGATTATGCCACAGTTGGGACTCTTCACTGATGAGGCAGAGGCAGGTGATGTCTTCCCACTCCGTACCCACTGCCTCTCTTCTGTCTTCTACTGAGACCAAAACTTAGCATTCCCGGCACTCACTTCTCCTGTGTCCTAATCTGCTTATTTGTCTGTGATAAAATTCTGACCGAAACCAACCTGGGGAGAGAAAGGGTTAATGTCAGGTCACCTGTCCCCACCACCCTGCATAATGAAAGGAAGTCAGGGCAGAAACCCCAGGCAGCAACTGATGTAGAGGCCATGGAGGAACACTGCTCACTGCCTTGCTCCCCATGGCTTGTTCAACTTGCTTTCTTATAGAACCCATAACTACCTGCCCAGGGGTGGCACCACCCACAGTGAGCTGGGCCCTCCCACATCAATCACTAATCAAGAAAATGCGCCCCCAAACATGCCCACTGGCCAGTCTGATGGAGTCAACTTCTCAATTGAAGTTCTACCTTCCCCGAGGACTATAGTTGTCGGCCGGAGCCAGCCCACCTCCTAAACCAAGAAATGTGTGGGCAGTAACCCAGGTCCCGGCCTTCCCCATGGCTCAGGGGACTGAACAGCTCCAAAGACATTTGCTGTCCCAGCTTGTCGCAACCAGCAAGCACGTGGTGGCAGCATGAACCAAAAACACCACGCAGGGCCCTGCAGAGGTCTGGTCTGTGCTCCCTGGCTCCCCGCCCAGGGAAAGTGACACTAATAGGGAACAGAAGACAGGGTGGGACTCCACCTTTACCAGCCTCCCGCCAAGAGCCCTGATTGGCACCTGTCAGCACTTGAGGGCCCTTGGTCCCAGAGTTCATCCCCAGCAGAGTCAGCCCCTCCCCTGGCCAACTGAAATGGGCGATTCTGCAAAGGATCAGAAGGCCTAGTGGTTCCGTTACCTCAGTTTCCCTAGTGTTCATGTAAAGCCTTCCACTGAAGATGTGCTGGAAAGGAGGGGGGACAATGGGGTGGGTGGCTGCCCAGACTCTGCAGCCAAGCTTTTGAAGCAAATCTAGGAAAACTGGAGTGGACTGAGGAGAGCCAAGACTTCCGGGGACTCTGTTTCATGGGCTCACAAGTCGCACAGGGCCCCACAGTGAGTTTCATGCTCTATTGTTACTATCTTTTTTTTTCTCTCGGTAGCTTTGGTGCCTGTCCTGGAACTAGCTCTTGTAGACCAGGCTGGCCTTGAACTCACAGAGATCTGCCTCTCTCCGACTCCTGAGTGCTGGGATTAAAGGCGTGCGCCACCACCGCCCAGCTATCTTTTTTTTTTTTAGATTTATTTATTTATTATGTATACAACATTCCTGCAATGTATGTTTGTATGCCAGAAGAGGGCACCAGATCTCATTATAGATGGTTGTGAGCCACCATGTGGTTACTGGGAATTGAACTCAGGACCTCTGGAAGAGCAATCAGTGCTCTTAACCTCTGAGCCATCTCTCCAGCCCCCCCTGCTAACTATCTTAAACATTTATTTTTTTTCCTTTTTTTGAGACAGGGTTTCCCTGTGTAGCCCTGGTTGTCCTGGAACTTTGTACACCAGGCTG